TTGATTCTGTTAACGATGTCCCAAGAGTGACATCGTCTTATGCTCAGCGACGCGAAGATGAGACTGCTCGGCTACGTTCGGAGTTGAACACGACACGTTCTGATTTGAGCACGACACAAGTTCAAATGGGTTCACTCGAGGGTTTCCTAGACGTTCTAGCGGCTGGAAATCCGCAATTGGAGATGATGTTAGAAGCGAGACGGGACAATTGGGCATTCCAGAGCAAGACCGCCAGGACGATGGACGGAAGGAACGACGACTTCCAGAACCACCCCTAGCTCTTTTTATTTCATTTTGTTGTAATATAAATTTTAAACTTAAACATTTATAAAACATTTTCGTTTTCTTCTATTATTTTAATTTTAATTTTTTAAAAATAATTTATTATTAAAATTAATATAATTATTAATTATTATCAGTGCATAAAAAATAAGTTTCGAAGTAAATTTGTCGTTAATTTTACAAAGAATTTACTACGAAACTTAGCGTGGACTTTACGAAGAAACAATTACGTGGAAGTGTCTTTGTCTCAGTGGATTAAATTACTTTTGGAGTATTTAACGAAAATGTAACGATGAAAGCTTTGCGTGTATTTAACGAGGAATATATTAGCGTGTATTCTACATGGAATATATTGTGTGTTTTTTATGAGGAAATGTAGGCATGTGTTTACGACAAACTCTTTCCTCGTAAAGTTACGAAACTTTTAGCAAGGAAATCTATGTTACGATGAACGTGGTATGATGTTTCTTATTTTGTGGTTATTTTCTTGTAAAATCTCATTTACTTGGAAATAACCATGCTACATTTCTTTCTTTTTTTTTTGTAGTGAACAGTTTTTCATTAAAAAAAAGGGTCTGTTGACATGCTAAATGCTTGGATGGAAATATATATTACAGGTGATGTGACACTCCTAGAAATGATTCAGTTTCGTTTTTTTATTTATTTATAATAGATGGTATATTTCTGTATGTTGAGTATCTATACGTAGGCTACTACAGTCTAAATTCTTTTATCTAACGCATCCCAAAATCTTTTCCATTGTTGACAACATGTGAATTGAACGAATTAATGGGATCTAGTTAAAATGAAATCTCTTACTTGTTGTTAATAAAACAGAACAACCATGGAAGAGTAGTTCATCTATCCAAGACAAATTAGGCAGCTATCTACCACGCTTCTTTGTACAAGTACATGCATCCTGTTGGCCAATGCTATCGCTAATGACCCTAATAACGAAAAAGAACATAATTAGTTATTAGTAGTTAATCATCAAGAACCTGAAGGAAGCACCAGTCCACCTTCTCTCACTCCTTCATCCGCCTATGCTCTTTCACCATCGCTTCTCTTGTTTGGTGTCAGTCTCGTTGCTCTCAACTTCTACTGATTTCGTTATTCAATTTGCTTTCCTTTGTATTCCCCTTGTGGTTTGATTAATGCGTTGTAGAATAATAAGTTTGTGATAGGAGTATTTGTTTTTTGTTGGTACTCCTTGTTTTCAGTGAGATTTACTTTGTAATATTTGAGGTAATATTTCATTTGCTTGACGACTAAAGTTGATTATCAAATTAAAAAAAAAAAAAAAAAAAGCCAGAAACACACAAATCTCCCAACAAAAGCAAATGTCACAGCTGAATAAACATAACTTCTGGAATAAAACACGAACTAACTCAGACAGCAGCAGTTGTGACGTCTTGTACAGACTGACGCCAGGCGTAATCACGAGCTCCATCTTTGTCAACAATCTTGATCACAAAGTTTGGTGGCGCAACGACTAGTCTTGATCGGATCTCAAGTATGCATTTGTCCACCAGTTCAATGGCTTCTTCTACAGACATATCCTCTCGGTAATGCCTGTCCATGGTGGAGAGGGAGAAGTAAGAGCCGTAACCGAAAGCTCCCTTGTCAACTTTGTGAAGGGTTGCAATGTAGTCAATGTAGTAAAGGGATGCACCGCTCTCCTCGTCGTAGCCAGCCATCAGAATATTCACAGAATACGGATTCTGGTGAAAGAGACGCAAAACAATAATAAAAGCAATGAGTTTATCTCGAACTTGTTAACATCAATGCTTAGGGGCCAAATGAAAACAAAACAAGGAAATATAGAACAAAAAGGCCATATGGGTCTTATTGTGCAAAGCCCTCAGAACTGTATAATGCTGGGAAATATAGTCTAGAGTATAAAAATTACATAATCACGTCTCGTAAACCACAGTCCACAGTACCCTAGAAAGAGCACAATCAAAACTAACCCGAGTTTCATCTTCTCCACACAAAAATGTATCAATAGTCAAAACGATAACTATAAGGAAGCCACTGCAACTCTTGAATATCATAAAAAGCATGGTAGATCTAAAGCACCTTTTACAACAAGAGAACTATGTGCATCTTAAGCACCTATTACTAAACCTGTGTTGCACTAAGAGTCTTGTAGTGATCAATTGGCGATAGGCGACCACTACCATGCTTTACATGACACTCAAGCACAGAACAGGGTAAAAAGTTCCCAACTTTGAGATAGTCCCGATTCAGTCAAAACAGCAGAAACATACCCATCTTCTCCAATCAATTTATCAAACCTAACTAAAACAGTTCAAACTTACAGTCACTTTAGAACCACTTGAATCACAACGAAACTCATATAGAACAAGGAACTGAAAAACCTGAAAGAGAGACCATTAAGTTCAAGAAAGAAAGAGAGACAGGCTATAAGAAACCTTAACATTATCATAAGCACAGCATTGCAGAGGATCCACAGAACTCTTCACTCAAAAAACTGAATAAAATTAAGATAATCTAAACCTCTAACAGCAGAACTCACCTTCCTCAACAGTCCAAACTTACAGTAATCTCATAAGTCATAACTACTTGAATCAACAGTACCACCACACAGAACAAGGAATCAAAATCCAAGAGAGACCGATGATCTTAAGAAACAAAGACATATTGGCTAATCATCAAACCTTAACATTAACGCAAGCACAACACTGCAAAGGATCCAAAGAACAATTCGATGTAAAGAGCTATTCACCTTCCTCAAGGCGGTGGCGAGCTCTCCGCGAGTGAAGTTAGCAGCGGCGGCGGTAGTCAAAGGGATTCCGTTGCGGAACTTGTACAGCGACACGTTCTTCTGAACGTACTCCGTAAATTGAACCCTATCAAAACCCCCAATTTTCGAAATCAATATACCAATCAGAGAGAAAAGAGAGAGTATCGGATGAGGAGATTTACCGGTCACCAGGCTCGCCGCTGGCAGCGACGAGCTTGTGGGAGTCGAGGACCATGATCTTGTCCTCGTTGTTCTTGTGGAGAAGGATACTGTGAACCGCCGATGTATCCGCCGCCACGATGGCGAATCCTTTCCCGACTAGACCGAATACACACTCCATCTTCACTTCTTCTACAGATCTGTTGATTCCGGTTTTTGCTTTTCTCTAGTCGTGGATGGTTTAACAAATTCTCAATAAGCGTCTTGCCGAACAAGACAAGACTTCTTTTTTACAAGGGTAACTGGGTAACTTCCTTCATCAAGGGTAGTATAGTCATACTCACCATTATTATATGGGCTTCACTAGAAGGCCCATCATTTCCTTTATATCCGGCAATTTTATTATATTAAAAAAAAAAATTCACAATAGTCAAAAATGTTATACTGTACAAATAGTCAAATTTTGTGAAAGAACCATTTTGGCCAAAAAAAAATAAAAAACAAAGTGGATCTAAAGTTGGGTAACTATTAACACTTAGGAAGTTATCTCAACGACACAGTTAATTTTGTGTTACAAAAAAAAAAGTTATCTCATCGACATTAAAGAGCTGAAGTGTTTCCTATGTCTAAGGCGGGGGCAAATACACCGAAGCCGAAAACCCGAACCGAACCTAATCCGATAAAAATAAATTCGAATCGATCCGAACCCGACTAAAATACCGAATGAATCTTGTTTTATGATATTTTGGGTTATGAGTATTATCCGAACCGAATCCGAAACATTCAAAAAATTTAATAAGAATGGGTATTGAATATAATCTTAATTCCTATTAGATATCCAAAATACTTTAAGATATTACTAAATATCTAAAATAAATTATCTATTATATGAAGGTTGATGGTTGAAAGTGGCGGATGAAACTTGAAATTTTTAGATTAGGGTTTGTTTTTATTAAATAATGTTTCTCGTTTTTAAAAACTTGGTTTTCGTTTTATACTTTCATTTATTTATTTTTCTTTCTATTAATAAATATGTTTACCTTTCATTTGATTTTGACTGAACAGGTTTAATGTTCCTTTTTTAATTTTAAATCAGTTTTACTTATGTTTTGGTTACAAAATATTTATACAACAGGTATTTTAAACCCGAGAACCGATTTTACTTATGTGTTGGTTACAAAGTACGTATAAATCAGGTGTTTTAAAACCAAAGTACCGATTGGGACCCGAATCCGAAAGTGTAACAGATTATTCCGATCTTTAAAGATTTACTAACCCCGAACCGAACTTTCAAATAATCTGAATGGGCTAATTTTAATAAACTCGAAAAACTGAAACTCAATTGGACAAATCGAAACCCGATTGGGACCCCGAATGCCCATGCCTACCTATGTCTCTTGGCGGATCACTGACTCTGCCAATAAGAGGATCCTGAAGTTTTCTTGGTCCTCCTGCCCCTATGTGATCAATTAACTGACCTCAATAGCCCGAAAGCTTTTGTGAGGAGAAGTGTTGGAAGATGAAACAGATCATTATGTTGGCGTAAGCGTTTATGAAATGAGTAAAGATGGGACTGCTAAAAAAACTAATTAGACAGGAAGATGTGACTTTGTAACTATGATAGGCCTTCTTTTTTTTTTGATCAACATGATAGGCCTTCTGTATGCGGCTATGTATACCTTCCAAGCCTGTTTCAGGTTCCAGAAAACACTTGTGAGGGTTGTTTGCTGTGCTGTTCCAACATGTTTTATGTCCTAAGCTTCTTTAAAAGATTGATTCAAAGAAAAAATATCTTGCACCTAAGCTATTTAAAACACATGGACCTTTGTTAACTCAAGTAATCATTACTACAACATTGTAAGTAAGGATATTGGTCCGAGAACCCTTACAAAAATCAAAAGAAACATTCTCTCAAAACATAAACCAAAATGACAAAATAGCTTATAGTGTTGAAACTGTGGATAAGTTTAGATAACCAAAACTTGTTTATTTCTTCTGTCTCTTGTTTCCACCGGCTTTGCCACCACGAAACCCACCTTTGAAATCATTCGTGGTCTCTGCAGTGTTCTGCTTGCTCAACCCTTTCCTTCCACCATGACCAAACTTGGAGTCCCTAAACTCCCTCTTCTTATTGTTCATCCTCGAAGTAGGCTTCCCTTTGCCTCCTGACCTATCACCAGGAGACACACCTGGTCTCTTCTTTCCACCTCCTCTCTGGAAACTCTTACCATTTCCAAACTCAAGATCAAGATCCCCAGCTCCTTTCTCACTAAACCCACTCTGCTGCCTCTGTTTCCTCCACTTCTTGACAGACTCAATCTCATCCTTCTTCTGCTTAGCACGTTCCTTCATCTTCTGAGACTGTACTTCCTTAGCCATCTTCTTGTTATCCCTAGCTTTCCTCCTCTCTTCAGTCTCCTCCATCTGTTTCTTCTCGTACAGAAGCTTAGACTTCACTTTCTCCATGTGCGTGTCTGACTTCACCATCTCCGCGTAGTAATCAGAAGGCCTGAGGAAAGGCAGTCCCATCTCCTGAAGCTTTCCGAAAGCCTGTCTCGTCCCTTCGAGGGCTTGAGTGTAGAAGGCCATCTCTCTAGCGAGGTCGTCGTTTACATCAACGGCTTGTCCTTGCTCGATATCAACGGTGAGCTTATGAGTCCAGTCAACATCTTCTGGCCAGCTGATGTCTTGAAGCTTATCAAGCAAACCATCTCTGTTGTAGACAGCAGTCTTTGTCGGCTCAGCTAGCTTCTCAGTGATCTCGTTATCTGAATCGGAATCTGACAAAGATTCTGCTTCAGAGTCAGATGCTACTTCGTCATCGATCATGTTCATCTCATCGTCTTCCACAAAATCATCTTCAAACGACATCTGTTCAAAGTTTTAAGTAAAAGCAGTCAGGTTCAGAATCAAGACAGGAACATATAGGTTCATACAAAACTAAACAACAAGAAGAATCAATAAAAGTCAAGCTACTTTAAATATTCAGCCTCTTAATCAATAGAGGGTCGGTCTTTGAACTAGGGTTTTGATATTGCGACTCTTAACCATGTGGTAGAAGCTGAAAACTCATTAAATGTCCAATCTTTGAACTAGGGTTTGTAATTAAGAGAAGCAACGACTCTATAACTAGTTCTGTAACCTTGAAAGTCACAATCTAAGGGCGAAAGATTGTAGCTTTCTTAACCTAGGCAACGTCTATTACAAAGAAGATAATACTCTGAGGTTGACATAAACCTTTCAAGGAAAGGAAGAAAGCTTACGGTTTACAACGAAACGAGGAGGATTAAAGAACTTTGCTCGACAAGGGTTATAGAGAGAGTGAACACGACGGCGCGATGAAGAAGGAGCAAGTTATAAAAGGGTTGGCTGAATATATATTTTATAAACTAGGTGATTTTCCCGTGCTCATGCACGGACATGTATATTTATAAAATAAATATACAATAATAATTAATTGATATTTACTTTAATTTTTAAATTAATTTATAGTTTGTATGTCTAATTTATATTATAATATTCTATTACTTTAATTATATATATAATTTTAGATATGTAATATTTAGTCTTTTTTATTGTTTTTACAGTTGATTTAGTTATCATTTAGATATATTGGATTTTATCTATTTCTCTGAATTCAACTATAATCTTTTATATTTTAAATATATTAAAATTTGATTAATTGTCTTATTTTCATTTATGCTGGTTGTTATTTAAGAAATATAAGTATATTTAGTAAGATTATATATAACTTAAGATTTTTTTGTGGTTGGAAGGAAAACAAATAAAAACTAAAGTGTATGATTCTAAATTACATACATAAGTAACTAATGAATTTTTAGAAGTTTTTGAACACATATCAATATTTACAATAATTAAAATATTTTATAGATTTTAAATAAATTTATGCTTTAGATTGATTGGATGGTAAACTGGAATTTATTTTTAAATAATTTATGAATAAGGATTCTGATTTGCTTAAGTATTTTGATCATGGTTATATTAAGTTTCAAAAACATAAAAACAGAAAAATCAAAATCAAAAGATTTATTAAGAAAACAGATAATTTTAACTATTAAAATATAATATATCTACCTCATTAATTTATATAGTGTTATGGTATTTTAAAATAATTGTAAGTATTTTCTGTTTTTATGTTTGTGAAACTTAATATAACCATAATCAAAATACTTAAGTAAATCATAATCCTTATTCTTTAAAACAGATAATTTTAACGATTAAAATATAATATATCTACCTCGTTAGATTATATAGTGTTATGCTATTTTAAAATAATTGTAGTTACTTGATCAAAAGATGTTTATTATTAAATTTAATTTTAGTTTTATTTTTAGTATCTCTTAAAATAGTCAGTAAAAAGTGATTGTTTTTGAGAAATTATACTATATAAGTAAAATATAATTTATATTTTTTACTGTAATTGTAAGATATTATAGTAAAATAAATATACTAAAAAAATAATTTTAATAATACTAATTATAAAAATGTCAATTAAACATATATCAGTTTATTTTAGTTGATTATCTTATGTAATCATCTAATAAAATAGATAGATATATAGAAAAAAAATATTTTGAAAATATATATATTTTACTGTTTAATTTTTTTTTTAAATATTTCTTTTTCTAATAGCAATATTTTTTGTGTGAAATCTTTTTATAAAATCACATTATATACAGATATTGTTTTCTATCTAAGAAGATATAGATATAAAGTATTTTATTACTTTAAATGTATATTTTATGTTATTTAAAATATATTTAAATTAAATATTACTATTTTGTGACTTTCCTTTTTTTATTAAACCATATTATATATACTTATATTTCGTTTTTAAATAGTTTTGTAAATTTTATAAATGTTTCATTTTTATTTTATATTGTTATTTGGAAATTTTTAAAAAGGAAATAATATTTAATTGTATTTTTAATTCATTAGGGGTATCATAGTAATCAACCAACGTGAGAATTAACGTGAGTGCGACACCTAAGAAAGTGACTTCTCAAATAATATTATAGAGATTTAATTTAATTAAGCTACGGGGGGTATACATGTATAGAATACGATGAAAGCTTGCTGCTTTACGCCGGGTTAAATCCGGGTCAATGAGTACGAATGCCGGTCCATCATTTCGGTTTTCTCGGTTTAACTTTATTTCTATTTCTATTTCAATTTTGGATTTTTGGTTATATCACACAACTGACAAACAAACAAGTGACGTTTTAATGACACGTGTACGATTTACCCTTCTTCGTCTTCTTCCCTTAAAAGCCCTAGCGTTAAGGTCATCGTGGCGCCGTCGTACGTTCTGCAGATAATCTCACTACTCGTCTTGGACCATGCAGAGTGACGTGACTATGAATCCACGAGCATCAGATGAATCTAGCTCCTCTGATGTCGAAGCTGAGATCAGCGACGGCGATGGCTTTTTGACGATCGATAGATCTCATGCAGTCGCCGAAGACGAAGGTAATGTGATTCAAATGGGTCTCTTGCTTCTCTCGTTTTCCGCCATCGTTGACCAAAAAGTTTCGATTTTTATTTTTGTTTGCATCAGCTTCGCTGCTGATAAGAGCAGAGACGTATCAAGGCTACATGAAGGAGCTTCCTCTTCCGACAAGTCGCGGTTCTTTGATTCCTTTCACGAGCTGGGTTGGGTTAGGCATGTCGATCAAGGAGCTTTATGGTCAGCCTTTACATTACTTCACTAACGTTCTCTTACTACGTTGGGATCAAGCAAGACTCGGTGCTGATTCTGAAGATAAGAGCTTGGATTTGATCATCCATCCTTGTAAAGCTGAAGCTACCATCTGGCTCGTTGAAGAGATTCATCGTCTCACTTCTTCTCATCTTCAGATTGCTCAGCTTTGGGGAACTGATCCTATGTATCACTTGTTCATTGATCCAATCATCCCTAAGTTACCGGAGACATGAACACCTTTTTTTTATGATTCTCTATGTTAACTTTAGACAATGTAATGTGAATGTTTTTCTTTCATCTCTGTAATAATCACCACAAGTCATTACAAGAACACTTGCCTTGACTGATGAAATGAAATCTGTTATTGTCTCTTAGAATGATTTCTCGGTTATACATCTTGGATACTAACTTAGCAAATGAATGACAATCAGAGCATACTCTCAGGTTCTTCACTATTCTTACTGTTGTGCCTTTGTTTGAGCTGATGAGACCAAAGGCCATTGCAAGTTTCTCGCTGTGTCGGCTAAGCATGAATCTCTTCTCTTGCTCATCTACATCCATCAGGACATTGCTGAGATCAGGTACATGGCCTAACTCACTAATTTCATCGAGCATTGCTTCTATTTTCGGCATCTCAGGGTGTGACTCATCACCTGATGTGAACTCATGAGTCTTACCTCGAATCTGTATTAAACTAGTTCCTGGTGGTTTGCGTAACCCTTTCTCCTTCATACTCAGCCTCACTTTTGCCATATCGTTCCATCTTCCAGCTGATGCATAAACATTAGAGAGAAGCACATAACTCCCAGTTCTCTCCGGAGCCAGGACTTGTATCTTCTCAGCTGCATAAGCAGCCATCTCCACATTGCCCTGAACACGACAAGCACCCAAAAGAGAGTTCCAAATCACATCGTTTGGCTCCAACGGCATGGACTTTATGAGCTGCATAGCTTCCTCTAACAACCCTGCTCGACCAAGGAGATCAACCATGCATCCATAGTGCACTTCTTCCGGACAAACTCCGTGAACTTTCTGCATTGACTCGAAGATTTCCTTACCTTGTTGGACCAATCCACCATGGCTACAAGCTGTCAATGCTCCAACAAACACTACTCCATCTGGTTTCAAACCTTGTTCAATCATCTCATCGAAAAGCTCTATGGCCTGCTCAGCGTTTCCTGACAGAGCCATTGCTCTTATAGCCGCTGTCCAAGCCGAGACATCTCTGTTAGCCAAACTATCAAATATCGACATTGCGGTTTCGGGATCCCCACACCTGGAAAACATATCTACTAAACTGGTACCAAGTCTGACATCAAGCTGAATCCCCTTCTTCTCAACGTAGTAATATATCCATTTTGCAAGATCAAGAGCTCCCAAGTGCCCACAAGCAGATGCAATGCTCATCACTGTCACTCCTTCCGCATCAACACCCTCTTGGCTTTGCATAGACCGGAAAACTTCAATGGCTTCCTCGAACAGGCTTTCTTGAACCAAACCGCCAATCATCGTGTTCCAAGAAACAATATTCTTCTCAGGCATGGTTCTGAATGTTTCCCAGGCTGCATCAACATCACCATTCTCAATATAGCCAGCGACTATTGTATTCCAAGTGACCACTGTCTTGTTCAACATCCAATCAAAGATCTTAAACGCAGTTTCTTGCTTCTGACACTTCATGTACATATCAATCAAGGCGTTACATACGTTGTCCCAACTTTCAAACCCATTCCTCAGTACATATCCATGACAACTCTTTCCCAGCAGAACGTTCTTCAGTACTGAACAAGACGCAATCGCACTCAACATAGAAATCCTATCAGGTTTAACACCAGAGTCCATCATTACACTCAAGACACTTAAAGCCTCCTTCGTTAGCCCTTGGCGTACGTAATTGGAGGCCATGGCATTACACAAATCCAGATTCCTCGCACCGTATTGCTGAAAAAGCTGTTTTGCAGTATCATTATCATTGCATTTCATATACATATCGACCAAAGCACTAACCATAACATCATTAACTTCAACGCCAGAACTACTTACAAAAGCATAAACCTTCTCACATATTTCAAGATCCTCAAGCTTAGCACAAGCGGAGATCACACACACCATAGTAACAGAGTTAGGCCTCACATCTTCACTACTCATCATCTCGAAAAACAAATCTACAGCTTCTTTAGCATAACCGCGCCTACCGTAACCGCAAATCATACTCGTCCAAGAAACTACATTTCTCAGAGGCATTTCATCGAACACCTTCCGTGCACAAACAAGCTCACCACACTCTGAGTAAAAATGAACCAACGAGTTCTGCACGAACAGATCCTTAGCGTAATCCATCTTAACAACCAACCCGTGAATCTGAACCCCGTCACGTGCGGCTCTGCGTTTCGCACACGCGCTCAACCCAAACGGGAACGTGTACTTATCCGGAGAGACTCCGTCGATCATCATCCGGAGAAAGAGGAGTAACGCTTCTTCGCATAGCCCAGAGGAAGCGTACCCACGGATCAAAGAGTTGTACATGAACCGAGACCCGTGCGAGAAATCAAACAGCTTTCTTGCAAAGGTCAGGCTTTCGCGAGTGCCCAGCTCGCAGCTTCGAGCCACGAGCTTGGTTATGGCGGAGACGTCGTTGTCGAGGCCTTGCTTGGCGAGGGAGTGGTGGAAGAGCTTGAGTTCGTCGATGGTTTTGCAGTTCTTTAACGAGTTAGTGGTGGTGGTGGTGGGTTTGTTGCGGTGGGTTTGGTGTGGAGGAAACGGTCTTGAAGTTGAAGTGGCGAACACCAAGGGAGGAACTGTACTCAGCGTCGCCATTGTTGGGTTTAGATGATTCAGTAAATTCAAAATCTCGCCATTTTATAATCAAAGCTATTAAGACACTACGCAACATAAAAATAAGTGGTCTTCCACAAATCTTGTAAAAACTGAAAAAAACTTGGTATGAATCATAACATTTACACCCAAAAAAAAAACATAAAAATAGATTAATTATCATAAAATACAATTTATTATAAATTCTGTAAATTGATAATGTTAGAACTTATAAATTTTATTAATACAGTTAAACTTTTATAAATTAATAATGTTGGAACTATAATATTTTCTTAATTTATAAAGTCATATATTTTTTAAAAGTCTCCTTTTTAGATTCTATTTTAAAATACTTTTTATATTTGATTTTAGTTTATATAGATTAATTATTTTATTGAAAATAAATATTGATATTGGATTTAGAATATTTTTGGTGTATTTAAAATATGTTTCATATCATTTAAACGTTGCTTAGATATAGTTTTTATAAAATCTCATCAAAGTATAGTAAGTATAAATTTAGGTATAAACAGAATTTTACTATGAATATAAAAGCTAATTTAATAATTGTAGTACTTATAATATAGATACATATAAATTATTAATTTATAATTTAATAGAGATATATATTTTACACAGATTTTTTTTTTTTTTAAATTATTATTTTATTATCTTATCCATTTATGTCATATTTTAAAACGACTCAATTTGGAACCGAAAAGGTTACCAATTTATAGTATCTATTCATTTATCAGTTATTAATTTATAAAATTTCTACTATATATATATATATATATATATATGTATATAGTGAAGTTTAACAAATTTTCAATCTTTTCTTTTATTTAAATAAAAAATTTGAAGTAAATCTGTATTTTTCTTTATTGTCGTTTTCCTTAAAATTGATTTCTTATCTTACTATTTCAAATTTTAATGTTTACACATTATGTAAATTTTACTTTTAATTTCATTTGAATATCAGTAATTTGAGATTGCACCCCATAATTTTTCAAACCCAAAATTACAATATTTAATATTTGTTCCGTTCCAACATCATTAGAGAACGGATACTACTAATTAACACAAAATCAATAATGACAGATTGTATTTATGCAAGTATAAAAGAATTTATGCACTTTTCCTTAGAGATTAGTCTAGGTTTCTCATGGGTCTGGGATACCCCAAGTTAATCAAAAAAAAAGTATAAAAGAGTTCATACTTCATGTATTTTAAAAGATCTGTAATTGTGACTTGAAGAGAAATTATATCTAAAATTAGTCAACTTATAGTTTCAAACACATTCAAACGATCATAGAGTATTTTCCAGCCAACTTAGAAAGAGGAAGAGATACCGAACGGCACAAACAAAAGTATCCAGAGCTGATTTTTTTTTTTTTTTTGAATAGTTTCTTCAATATCAAGAATCCAAGATAGTGTGAATATAACTGAACAAAAAACTAACTTTACAAAAGATAAGAGATATGATGAAACTTGTATACCCTCCACAAAAAAATCTGAGCACTATCTTTCTCTGGATTAGCTTTGAAAATATAAGTTGAAGTTATGATACGGCGTCAAATCGTTTCGTTGTTTTGAAGAAAATGGTTCAATTTATATAGAATACATGGAAAAGAAATTGGATTAAGAAAGAAGAAGAAGATAAGTTCCCTAAAAATATGTTATTAGTATGGATGAAATTGGTTGGTTTTATAGGTTACAAGTTGATCATTTTCTTACCAAAAAAAAAATTGAAGGAAAAAAACAAGACAAAAGGGACTAACAGTTATTGTTTGCTGCACTGAGAATGGTTCTGAAAAAAAAATCTCTATGGATTATTGGAAGATATGCAAAACCACATTATTTCAAGAATACCAGCATGAACAACTTGAATTTTCACTACCACTACCATGCTAACAAAAAAATCTTGAATGACAAGCATGGGTTTTGGAGAGTATATCCGTTAGTTTAATAAGAAAACACAGATCAGAAGAGTTTTGTTTGTGGTCAATAATTGTCTAGCACATCCAAAAATATTGAAAATTTACAAAATGTTGAATTGCACTTCTTGCCGTCCTATATGAGATCAAAAATTCAACATTGCACTGGAATAATAAAAAAATTTAAGATGAATTATTGTAGAATTTTTTGTTTTGAAAGAAATTATTGTAGACTTTGCCATGAAATTTAAGAAGATTGTGAAACAATCTGATCCAGGTAAGACTAATGTGAATCAAGAGACAATAGCAAATTCCTTCTCTATAAAATCCGTTCAGAAGATGGTGAAGCATTGTTCTTAATCCCTCTTTTCTAGATTTATCAAAGGAATGGAATATCGTTCATGATACACAGAAGATAAGTAGACATTTATTCCATTATATCTTTTTTACAGCACAGATAGAAACATGTTTCTTTTACATCAAAACATTAAACCATGACTTATTCCTCACGATGAGACAATACTTCATCATATCCGGCCTACCCACACACATGTCTCTACTAACATAGTAGCCATTTTTTAAGTTGCAACAAATTAAAGACGAGGATATATATCCATGATCTAATAACATAGGAATAAAAAAACATATTATTATATAAGACCATATAATTATAGGTGCGCCATACATTTTAAATGCTACCTAGCACTATAAGCGTATAGAAACTCCATGGTTCACAAGTCTACTACCAGAATTTGAGTTTGGATGGAGCCGGAGATTCGCAGGAGAGCACTTTAGCAATGGCTCGGATGGTGTTTGGAGTAGTCCGACAACACCCTCCAAACAGAGACGCCCCTTCTTCTCTCCATCTACTCACATACGACACAAAATCCTCCTCTGATTTTTCCTCTGATTTCTGCCATAAAAATCCCCCAAAAGTCAGATTTGGCCTTGTAGGGTTTTTTAAAAAATAAAATAATTAACAGGTTTCTATAGAAACACTCACAATCCATTTCTTGTTCAGCCCGTCGTAGACTTCTCCACTATTTGGATAGACAACGACCGGTTTGCGAGTCACCTGGAAAGAACAAAGCCAATTGCTTCATCGGCAAGGCACAAAGTAGGGGTAAGACCCTAATTTTATCATTGTTTATAGGTACGTTAATTACCTGGCGCAAGGAGATAAGCAAATCATGAATGTATCTTGGTGCAGTACAATTGATTCCTACACATACCACTTTCTTGCAAGAATCTGCCACTTCCGCACATTCTATAATAGATTCTCCGCTTGGGACAGTGACTCCATCCTTGGAAGTGTACGAGAACCATGCTGGAATCTCAATGCCTTCCTCTTCGAGAAGGTCCACGTAAGCCTATATTTTATGGAAAATAAATATATTTATATCTAGTATGTAGAAATCTAAACCAAAATCGTGTAACAACTATGCTTATAGAATATATATGTTCACAACGGCTAAAACAGCCATGCATTATTAGTTAGTTGGAAACTAAACTTTGTTTTATAATGGACTAAAAAGCCTAGACTAATATATAGGACATGTGAAGAATGGCCAACCACTAGGAAGACTCGTATACTGATTCGTAACCCACAAAAAAAAAGTCGAAAATTACAAGAACAAAAAAAAAACAACTTTATCTACCTCAGCTTCGAGCTTATTTGGAATGGTCTCAAACGCAATTAGATCGGCTCCCGATTTTGCTAGGATTTGGACTCTTCTTCTATGGAAGTCCTTCAATGTATCCTTGCTCACAGAATCTCCATATACTCCACTGCAAAGCCATCATGAAGGATGAAAAAATTTATATTACATTTACCAAGGGACCAATACTTTGACATATATATAGTTCTTTGATAGGGTCCAAGTCTAACTTGATACCTAAAATGTAGCAACAAAAGACATAGGATCAATCAAATCATTTAAAGAACCTGTATTCGGAGCCATCGGCGAGATAAGCTCCATAGCTACCAACGGAAGCTGCGACAAGAACCGGTCGCAGGGAAGCTTTTCCGGCGTGGTCAAGGTCCCAGGAGCCCTTGTTGCATCTGTTGTAGAAAATCTCACGTGCCTCACACGAGAGTTCTACGCTCCTCCGCAGCAAACTCTCAGCGTCCTCCACCGATAAACCCTTAGCTACAAATCCTTGGATCGTCGCCTGTTTATATGTAAATAGATTTGATTAAATGAATATTATAAAGTAATTTTACCCATGCTTCTTGAAAGTATAGGACAAGTTACTTGGTATGATGCGGTTATGATGATGTTTGCTCCAGACTCTAGGTAATCCAAGTGCACCTATATATTACACGAAACAAATATTATATACTACACAATATTTTCTGGCCTATTTATCTCGGAGTATAATACAAATAACTGATATAATATATATATATATGGAGTCCCGATCTAGTTTAGTAAACGGCGTGGAACGACGTAGACGCTAGTTGGAAACTGGAATACGATGGAAAAGACACGTATAGCAGGCTAGCAGCACAGCCTTACAGTTACAAGTTATGACGTGGCTATTTAGTGTTTGCTTGTTATCTACCTTTTGCACTATAGTAAATTGGATGAATAGCTTTTCTTCAATAGTCCACTTTTCTATTGGTTCATTTCAGAGCCGGTCCTAATAAAAAATGTGACCGATTCACTTAAGGGAAATCGAACCCTCAAATTCTAAGCCTTGTAATAAGTACCTAAACCACTAATGCTAATAAGAACTTTCTGTTTAAGTAAGGCCGAAAATGTTGTTAAAATCTGACGGCTGGAAGCAACAGCTTCACTAACTTCCATCAAGGACGGGCTCTGGTTCATTTAAGACACATAACTTAAGATCTCATTGTTTAAAAAGGTAGTCTAATATTAATGTTGTCACTTTTATATTTCCATTGGATTCAAAACCACAATAGTATATATCAGGGACGGATCCAGAAATTAATTTAACATGTGGCACAATATATATATATATATATTTTTAATTAAAGACTAAATATTATTTATTTCATTAAATTATATATTTAAAAAAAAATCATTAGTCACTAAAAGTTTACATTTTTCAGAAATAGATCATATAAAAAGAGAAGTAATATTAAAAAGTTATATATACCACATAACATTTTTATAAAAAATCATTTTAGGTCAATCTACAACTGAAATCAATAAAAATAATTTTTAGAGTGAAATTTAAATAAGTTACATTTTTTGGAAAAAGTAATTTTAGAGAAAGGAAAGGAAATAAAACAATTGTAAACAAAAAGAAAAATAATTCTAGGTAGCAAAATAAATGAAAAAAAGCAAATGTGATTAAAAATGTAGAAACAATTTAAAAAAAAAACACCAAATGGACTTTGAACTCAGAGAGGGTGGGGCACAACTTAATCTCTTGAACCATTAGAATAAGATGATAGTATATATTGGTTCACGTAACAGAAGATTTATAATTTTGGCATGTGGCATGTGCCACATCCTTCATACACCTCGGTCCACCCCTCTTTTACCTAAAAACTCGTAAGCATAAGTATTGACAACAACAAGAATAAGAAACCCACAAAAATAGCTCTGCATAAGAATGAACAGCCATGCAGATAAAGTTAAAATCGTGAATATACAAGGCAATTTGAAGGAATAAGTTGATTTGATACTTTTTAATCTGTGGGGGCAAAAAATGGAGAGACAAACGAATCTGAATCAAGGTAATTTACTTAATTAAGTCAGTAGAAATATAGTGTTTATTGGCTAAGTTCCCTAGTTAATATATAATGGTACGAAATGAGAATTTTAATTGTAAACATGAAGTTATAAATATCATTTACTAAACCATCATAACTTCCACATAGATTGTAAATGTATAACCTTTGTGACGAGGTGGGGAGAAGTAATGAGGCACTTGGCACTCCAAAGTGGATCCTTGATGTCAGCTCCGTGTCGTTCTAGCTCTGTGGCAAACCCTCCGTCCACCACCGCATAACCGCCGCACTTCTCTAGAAACTCTGTCATCAAGGAAGATGACGTTCCGTCTTTCACTAATGATCCCATATAGCTCGATAATAGATATAGCTCTCTGTCTCTCAAGTAGATCGAAACTAGGAAAATGAGATTTGATGTTGTTATGCCTGAGATGCATGAGCATTTTATAGGCGGCCTGATCTATTGAATGACATATATACCCTTATAGTAGTGTTGGTATATGGTTGAGGACCGACTTATGAGTTTTGTAATGAGGAAAACGAGCGAAATAACTTTGAATAGACGTTAAGTAGTATTGAAAACTATTAACTAAAAGTGGATAAAATTGTGTTACCGAAAAAGAAAGTGGATATTTATGAACAAACTGTATGATCAGACAGCCAACAGACTCCTTTGCCTGCCGTGTGGGAAATCACTTGCACCACGTTGTACTTCTTTTTCTGAGCCGTCCACGTTACTACTATATAAGCTGTTTATAATTAATTAATTTATACAAATTCGATTGATGTAATAACTAATTTTCTCCCAGTCTGACTTTATGTATATTGCGTAAATGTAAAATAAATAAACGCATTTCTCTGTAAACATCTCTGGTAATCTTATTTATTACGTGTCCTGTTTTTTTTATTGAAACATTGCGTGTCCTGATTTGGTTGCAAAACAATACAATGTAGAAGATCATGTCTCCACGCCTTGGATGGCTGAAGGCATTGCGTGAGGAAAAAATGCTCGTAAAATGCAAGGAGATCAGAGTTAGACGAATCAGGTGTGAAGTAGATACCAAGCAGCGAGGGTCTATGGAATTGTGTCGGATATTGCCGCTTTAGCTTCATCTTTTGAGACTATCTCATTTGTTTGGATTTCTAGACTGCAAAATGTTGTTGTACATGGTCTTGCAAAGCAAAGCATTGTAGTAAATTAGGATGTTAATTCCCTCACCTAACTTTTAGCTTATTAATGAAGTTGTCTGTTGTGTTAAAGAAAAAAAGGTACAAGGAGCTTTCTGTGAACCAAAAAGTACAATTCTTTTTCATTATGAGAACTAAACCCAGAGTTTGGTGATGAACTGGCCTAACTCCTCTAAGTTTGGATCATTCTAACAAAATCTAAACACTTATACTGTATTAAAGTAAAGCTTCCCCGAATGAAAATATTACAAAAGACATTCAACGACTGGTTAAGTGGAATGTGGAGATGATTCCACGTTTGAACCAAGCAAGTAAAATCTACGAGAACGAATATGTAACAATTTTTTTTTTTGTATCGATTATAAGACCATCAGCAACAGAAGTCCTTGGCCCAAATCCTTAGTTTTTTAGGATATAAAATAAATCAAAATGGGCTCGAAATTAGACGGATCGTACGGATGAGTCCGTCTGTAAGGACCCGAAGGATGAAATCCTTAGTGACGTGGCGTCATCACCTCTCTCTCCTCCCCCGACGTCCTCGTCCTCTTCAGCAAATCCGGCGCCACCGAGAAGTTTCTCCACCTCGTCCCCTGCGCTAAAGTTCAGAGGAGCCTTCCTCGTCTCTCTCACCTCCGATTCTGGGAATCCTCTCGTCTCTCTCACCTCCGTTTAATCTCGTTCCGGTGACTTCCACGGCGATTCAGATCATGGTTGGGTATACGATCGCTGTTGCGTTGATGGCAGCGAGGAATCTGACCAAGGAGGAGAACTTTATAAGGTTTCAGAGTTTAATTTTTAAGGTTTGTCTCAAAGTTGAGAACTTTAGGTTTGATCATAAAGTTTAGAAGTTTATAAGGTTTCAGAGTTTAATTTTTAAGGTATGGTCTCAAATTTGAGAACTTTATCGTATTGCTCTGTCCATATTTGATGTTGGTTGCATTTTTGTTTTACTATGAAGATTCAAAGACATCTTCCAGGAAGTGTATGAAGCCAGCTGGAAGTCAAAGTATGAGGCTGGTGGAATATGGTGAGTCACCTAGATAAATATTTATCATCCTCGGAATCTCAGTGGTGCCTTATGTATGTTACCTTTTCATTGAAGACCCTAATGGGAACTACTTCAAGAAGCATCTTGCTAGAATTCCGGATTACATGTGGGTTGCTGAAGATGGATTGAAAATGCAGGTGAGTTAAAAGAAGTGAAAATAAAATTCTTTTGATATATTCTGTCTAGCAATGGAATCTTTTTTAAAAATTTATAGATTTATGCAGAGCTTTGGAAGTCAGCTATGGGATACAGGGTTTACGGTTCAAGCTATACTTGCTAGTAATCTCTTTGATGAAACTGGCAATGTACTGAAGAAAGGACATCATTATATTAAAAACTCTCAGGTTTGATAAAATAGTGTAGCTTGAAATTTTATAAGAAGAATTGAATGTGTTTTCCTAAAACAAAAAACTTTTTGCAGGTTAGAGAAAACCCTTCTGGTGACTTTAAGAGCATGTACCGGCATAATTCCAAAGGCGCATGGACTTTATCTGATCGAGATCATGGCTGGCAAGTTTCAGATTGTACGGCTGAAGCTTTAAAGGTAATCAAAAACCAGTCACTGATGCTAAACAAGTTTGCTGGAGCTTCCACGAGAGTTAACTTATGCCTAATAGTACTTCTTTCGTTTTGTGTAGTGTTGCCTGCTTCTCTCCATGATGCCAGATGAAGTTATTGGACAGAGAATGGATCCTGAACAAATATACGATTCTGTTAATCTCTTGTTATCTTTTCAGGTAAGTTTAAATCTATAAGACTAACTTCGACTCTCTTATAGGAAAGAGTGTTTAACCTTTGATAACTGGTGTTTTCAGTTGCTCAATCCCACGGAGTTTCTTGCCAATCTTATGGTCGAGCGTGAGTATGTTGAATGCACGTCATCTGTTGTACAAGCTTTGGTTCTGTTTAAGCAACTCTATCCAAATTACAAGACAAAAGAGATAAGCAGGTCCATCAAGAAAGCGGTGCAATTCAATAGAAAACGAACAAACGCAGGATGGTTCTTGGTATGTTTTCTCTAAACACCAATTCGTATAACACATAGTATAACACCAATCCAGTAACTAAACTATGTCAAATCTTAGATTAAACTTTTACACAAAAACCTTTAGACTAACTTCTACACAAGAACCTTTCTAGCATCAAGTTTTATTTTTCCTAAGGACTCTAAAAAGAAGTACACCATTGCATTAACTTTTTTGAGCAGAATTCTTAACTATTCAAACAAAAAAATTAAAAACAAAAAAATAGTTTAATATTGGTAAGGACTCCATCCACAAATCCACCATTGTGGATGGTCTAACTCTCCATGTCGATGCAGTTGATCCTTTTCTCACGCACTTAATATATTCTGATTTTCTTTTCTAAATCTTTTATATATTAAAACTCTCACTTCACCAATCAAATTCTGCCACATAATTTTTATTTTCACACTACAAGAAAACACCGCAATTCTGACAGACATTTCAACAAAAAATGTATTCTTCGGTAAATTTCGAGGACATTCCGAGACAATCCCGAGGAAACTCAAATTCTGGGCTTTTTCAAAATTTCCTCGGAATATACCGACGGAATTCCGAGGAAAGCGTATTCCTCGGAAAAAACGACGAAATTCCGAGGACCTTTCGAGGAAACCAAAATTTTGAATATCCTCAGAATTTCCTCGGGTATACCTCAGAATATACCGACAGAATTCCGAGGAAATCAAATTCCTCGAAAAAAAACCGACGCAAATCCAATGATATATTATAGCCGTTAGAGAACCGTTGGGGGATTTTATAAATTCCGAGGATATTCCAAGGAACTAGCCGTTTCCGTCGGAATTTCCTCAGAATCGTCGGCACATTTCATCTATAAATACAAGCACCCTCATCCTCTTCATTCACTCCATATCTTCATTCTCTCACATACTATATTTACACACGAATTTAATTGAAAAAAGAATGTCTTCTTTTAATTATTATCGTTCTTGGATTGATCGACCTCATTTGGATCCTAACAAGAGATTGCTTACGGAAAAGTACCAAAGAGGTTTAGGCGAATTCATGGTGTTAGTTCAACGACAACCGGAAGCAAAAACATGTATGTTAAGATGTCCTTACTCTACTTTTAAAAATAAAAAGGTTATAAAAGAGTTAGATGTTTGGACTCATCTATAGTTGAGAAGGTTTACACGAAGTTACGAAGTTTGGTATCATCATGGAGAAACTGATTATGAATATGGTAGTACTAGCGAACCTCAGCCTGCGGTTAGGTTAGAAGAACCAATTAGAACGAAGGTAGATTATGGTGTAGGTGCTGAGCAGATGGTAAATGATCATTTTAGAGGGGAAGATTTACTCAATGCAGAAGCTGGGAGATTTTTTGATATGTGGGATGAAGGAAAGCAACCTTTGTACGAAGGTTGCAAAGATGGTCATTCAGCTTTATCATCTGCAACAAGACTGGCAGGCATTAAAACATATTATAATTTGGCTGAAGACTGTGTGAATGCGATTGCTAATTTTTGTAAAAGGTATTCTACCTGAGGATAATGTAGCCCCTTGGTTCATACTACGAGGTTCAGAAACTGGTAGCTGGTCTTGGTTTATCGTATCAGGTAATAGATGTATGCAGCGATAACTGCATGATTTATTGGAGGGCGGATGAGCAACGGGTTACATGCAAATTTTGTGGGAAGGCTCGTTATAAAGATACGAGTGGAAAAGTTCCAGTGCCATACAATAGGATGTGGTATTTGCATTTGACGGAAAGGTTGCAGAGGTTGTATCAGTCTGAACGCACAGCGCAACCAATGAGATGACATGCAGAACATTCAACATATGGTGAGATTAGACATCCTTCAGATGCGAAAGCTTAGAAGCATTTCCAATCAACATATCCAGATTTTGCGTATTAGAGAAGAAATGTCTACCTTAGATTATTTACGGATGGTTTCAGCCCATTTGGCAAGCATGGGAGACAATATTCTCTATGGCCAGTCATTCTTACACCATACAACTTACCGCCAAGCTTGTGTTTGCGTCGAGAGTTTTTGTTTCTCTCCATTCTCGTTCCTGGGCCAGAGCATCCTAGTAGATCACTTGATGTGTTTCTTCAG